TTACTGAGACAGGTACATCCTCATCTTCACCCGTCCATCAAGGTTAGCAAAGCAGCAACCCAGCATCTGCTCTAGAGTAACCCAAGTAAGCCCAGGGACAAAGGTGTACTGGAGAGGTGGTGAGATCTGATTATGTGCATCACGCAAGCTGAGCAGCTGTGGAGGAACGGGATGCACAGACTCGAATTAATGGAAAATATATAATTGTTCTTCGTCCTTAAATGGGCTGCTTGGGATTGCAGTTGGAGACACATTTAGGATTTTTGAAAGAGGCAATTTCATTCTCATCATACTCATTGTTTGCTACTCTTTCTCTTTTTTTCTTTTTGGTTGAAAGCCTTAGCTTTATTCTCCTAACTAGAAGAGTATCTGCCAGCACAAAAGTCAACGAACTCACAGGAGACAAAAGACATTCTTGGTTTGATTGCTCCTAATAAACTTCAGTGCTTCCAGACCACATAATGTCATAGAATTATTTGTAATGCTTCTTTAAAGCGGGGGACAGCGTTCAGAAATGAACTGCACATGGTAAGAAGAGCCTCCCAGGGGTTATCCCTGCAAAAATGAGCTGCAAGGCTTTGGGAGTGGTGGTGGTTTCCGGCCATTAGCGTTACTAATCAAGGCCAGCTTTGCATTTATGGGAATCTACACAAATCAGGATGATACATGCTACGTTCACTCAAGCAAACCTGCCTGATTTCTTCAAGGTTACGCTGAAACAAAGCCTTAGCCCAATTATCTTGGATTGGAATGCTTCATTATTTTTATATATCCTTGAGAGAGAGAGAGAGAGAGAGAGAGAGAGAGAGTACATGAAGTAGACACACATCAGGTCCATGGGTCACAAAATCATATTTAGTGCTTCATGCCCACATAAAGCAATTACTGTCGGCTCGTTACTGGAGGAAGCATTAGTGGAGAAAATACAAATCCTAGATAACCCACCAGGTCTTTCTTGCTGCCATAGTTACAGCCGAGGTAAGAGAGAGAGAGACAATGGGAGTGCCAGAAAAGCTCGGGGCTAAGAGGTCTCTTTGGGAAACTTTGAGCAGAGGTGATACATTCAGCTGCCATTCTGTCCTCTTTTTATGCCCATTGCCTTTTTGCCCTGTACCAGGAAGCAAAAATAACATTGCTTTCCCCCCCGCAAACTTGTGGTTGACAAACAGAAGGCGTGGAGCTGGGGAAGCCAGGAAATGATAGCAGAGGAAGTCCTCTGTGAGGTTGGCAGTCACCAGGCAGTCAGAGCCTGGAGGTCTCTGGGGACCGACCACAGGCTTCTAAGTGGAGCCTCTGTACCTTCCTCCTTAGGATGCTTGAGCCACGCCCCAGGCTCTCTGGGCATAGTTTGCCCTTTAGGATCTTGACTGTGTCAACAAACATGGTACAAGCTGTTTAATTACAAATGTTATAACCAATCATTTGCACACATAGGCATTCTTACACTACAGATGCTACAGGTCCTGGGCATTACTGCTATTCCTGTCCTTCTAATATAATGAACTCTTTGGGCCAGGCACCTCCCTCCCAGGCCGGGAGCCACAGGAAGAGTTAAGACGACATCACTTCAGGTGATTCCTAACGGCACTGCGTCAGGAAGGGTACATACGTTAACAAGGAAGAAAATCTTAAGTAGTAAAACTACCATGGAATTCCAGACCCTACTGAGCAGCTGGGGGAGATGGAGGAGTTACAGAAGTCATAGCAAAGATTACGGCTCAGGCTTCCCTGGTGGCGCAATGGTTGAGAGTCCGCCTGCCGATGCAGGGGACGCAGGTTTGTGCCCCGGTCCAGGAAGATCCCACGTGCCGCGGAGCCTGTGCTCTGCAACGGGAGAGGCCACAGCAGTGAGAGGCCCGCGTACCGCATTAGGGCTCATTGGAAAGGAAAGCTGGGAAATAACCATGGGGAAAGACAGGCAAAAATCATTAAATTGCATGTTTTAATGCAAAAAGTATTTTGGATAAAAATGATTATAAAGAACCAAATTCATATCCTCTGGAAATACGACTTCACAACAAAATTAATGGGGTCTAGGAAAAGGCATTAACAGCTTTTTGCCTCAGAATGAATTTCTGTGCATTAGAGTGAGAAATCAGGTAAACAGATACAAAAAATCAAATGACAGAGTAAGGAACAATGGAAAATGCAAGGAAATTATGGACCAGGATTCTTCCTAATATTAAAGAGAGAGACAGAAAGAGAAAAAGAGAGGAAGGAGTGGGGAGGAGGCTCCAAAAAGGTCAGGAAAAATAAAGGGTCAGTGACTGTAAAAGGGAAAATGACTCATAATAACAGGGAAAATTATGAAAAACATAAATATTGACTATAAAATACCAGTGGGCAAGAGAAAAATAAGAGTTAAAGAAATCATTGAAACCACACATCTCTGATTCATTATTTGTTCTTTAAATTCTTCTGTGAAGCTCATCAGCTAGGAAAGGTACGTTATGTAATGAAAATATAATATTATGATTTCTGGCTTAAAAAGGGGGGTGAAATTAAAGGCATTATTACTTCTCTTCCCTCTTCTAAAACACACAGAAAACAACAAAAATTGTGAAGCACAAAGGAAAATATCAGATGTAATCAAACAAACAAGCAAACAAAAAAGGCTCCCATTCTTTTACAAACCATGAAGCATACATACACGGGCTAAATTCAGGAAGGATACTGAAAGCTGACAAGTATCTCAAGTCTCAAGCAGGAGCAAAAAGTTTTTGGCTAAAGTAATGTCATAAATGTCTAAAGGGCATATGCAATGAGCCTCTGGTGAGAGTGGCAAGACATACAACTTAAGCTCACAGAGACACAGTTTGACACCACATAACAGAAGGGGAGGCAGAGCTAAGAGAAATGGTTAATATTATATTCCTATTTACCTTTGTATTGTGTTATTATTATATTCCTTCTAGCCAAGGAAGACTTCCAGAGTCAGTGACATGCCTATGGAAATTCCAAGGGAGTAAGGGGACTTCCCTGGTGGTCCAGTGGCTATGACTCCACACTCCCAATGCAGGGGGCCCAGGTTCAATCCCTGGTCAGGGAACTAGATCCCACAGGCTGCAACTAAGAGTTTGCATGCCACAACTAAAAGATCCTGCATGCTGCAACTAAAAAAAAAAGAAGAAGAAGAAGAAGAAAAAAATTTCCAAGGGAGTAAAGCCAGTAAAAAGTAACAGGAAATATACAGACTTGGATTTTCTAGATAATTCTTTCATGCAGAAAGTTTAGTCTTTACAGTTTATACCAATGGAAATTTTCTCTCAGATGAGTATTCTGATAGAAGGTGTTTGCGTTTTATAAGGCAAGTCCAGAGAAGAAAATATCAAATATATTATGTAAAGCATTTAACTCTGTTATGTTAAGCAACAGAGTTTGAGAGATTTGGTAGATGGCTTCAATCTGAGCATCTATCTAGGTTTTCAGAGGGTAAGGATGAGGAATGAACAGAGAAGTGTGACCAGATTATACTACTCTCCTTGTGTTGTTGTCAAGAGCTGAGGATTACTTCATCCAAGAAAACACAACTCAGTACATAGAAAAAGCAATTCAGTGATAGTCTGGGTGTCCACTGACTGGTCTTAGAACAAGCCTGCAGAGGTTTCTGCCGGGTATAAATAAGAATCATTGGAAGGATTTATTTATTATTTTTTTTAAGTTTTTATTTTTTTGGCTGAGTTGGGTATTTGTTGTTGTGTGCAGGCTTTCTCTAGTTGCAGTGCACGGGCTTCTCATTTTGGTGGCTTCTCTTGTTGTAGAGCATGGGCTCTAGGCACGCGGGCTTCAGTAGTTGCAGCATGTGGGCTCAGTAGTTGCAGCACACGGGCCCTGGAGTGCATGGGCTTCAGTAGTTGTGGCACGTGGGCTCAGCAGCTGTGGCTCTCAGGATCCAGAGTGCAGGCTCAGTAGTTGTGGTGCACGGGCTTAGTTGCCCTGCGGTATGTGGAATCTTACCAGACCAGGGATCGAACCCGTGTCCCCTGCATTGGCAGGCAGATTCTTAATCACTGAGCTACCAGGGAAGTCCTGGAAGGATTTAAAAAACAACTTTCTGACTCTGCCTACAGAGGACTTTGGACTTGGTACATGGGTTTCTATTTATCCCAGAAATCAGGTGGCCAATGAAAGTTCTGAATTTGAATTAGATAACACACTCTTAATTGTTCTCACAATTTACAAGCATTCTCTCATTCTTCTCCTGGCTATACACAGGTTAAAATCTATAGAATCTCACGGGGCCCCAGCCCTTTAAAGAAACATGGTTTATGTACAGACAATGGATGATTAACAGATCTGTAAAGGAAGTTAAGCTAAGGAGGGAATCTAACTGAAAACAGTGAAAATCAACGAAGCCAGAACAGACCCAAACATTAAGCAGCATTCACTTAAGTGATATTAGCTAATGGCACCACTGGGTAAGTGAAGAAGTATGAGCAATAACTGACTTCCTCTCCCAAGTTCCAAAATACCAGAATGGTCACAGACCCACGGAACATACATTTCAAGTTTGGGCTGCTTAAGAAACGGTTATGGGTTGAACTGTGTCCCCCTAAAATTCACACGTCGAAGACCTAACTCCTAGTGTCTCGGAATGTGACCGTATTTGGAGGCAGGGTCTTTAATGAGGCAATTGAGATTGAATGAGTTCATTGAGAAGCTCTGGTCAGTACGACTCGTTTCCTTTTAAGAAGGGGAGATTGGGAGAGGGATACACACAGAGGGAAAAGCATGTGAAGACACAAGGAGAAGGAGCCCCTTTACAAGCCAAGGAGAGAGGCCTCAGAAGCAATCAACCTTGCAGACACCTGGATCTCAGACTTCCAGCCTCCAGAACTGTGAGAGAATAAATTTCTGCTGTTTAAGCTACTCAGTCTGTGGTGCTTTGTTATGGCAGCCCCAATACGGAAGCCTATAATGAGCCCTTTTTTCCCTCTTAGAAGTCTGATATAAGACCCAAGTTTCTTTTGTGGTTAAATGCTTTTTTACATCATACTCACAATCCCAACAGGAAAGGCCAATACAGCCAGCATCCAGTCCCTGAGAGAGATGAGCTTCTTGAGCTGTCTCTCTTGTTCTTGGCTTCCACTTCCTCTAGTCAGGAGACTGGAAAGATCAGTCAGCACACAGATGCCAAAAAAGACAGCTTGAATAACCTGGAGGGAGACAATGATGGGTATTAGTCAATAAGATCGAAAGAAACCCAAGCTGTAGGACAGCAAACAAACTACACCTTTGGAACATGACACAGGGTAAAAGAGGATCAGATGCACATTTTAAGAGCTAGCCCTGCAAACAGAAAAAGAGTCAGACATTTACAACTTGCTACCATAGGTGAGAAAATTCACCTTAAAAACACTGCTTCCATTTTTGCACACCTAAGGACAAATGCAAAACATGCATGGACAGGAAGTGGTATCAGTTCTCAAATGACATGTCCCTTAATTTAAAACATCACATCTGGGCTTCCCTGGTGGCGCAGTGGTTGAGAGTCCACCTGCCGATGCAGGGGACACTGGTTCGTGTCCCGGTCCGGGAAGATCCCACATGCCGCGGAGCGGCTGGGCCCGTGAGCCATGGCCGCTGAGCCTGTGCGTCCGGAGCCTGTGCTCCACAACGGGAGAGGCCACAACAGTGAGAGGCCCGCGAACCACAAAAAAACCCACAAAAAAACAAAAAAACATCACATCTGTGGTTTAGTAATATTGACTAGTGTGATTTAACAAACATCTAAAAAGTGCAAAGAAAAAGACTTAAAAAAGATCAACAGGGCTTCCCTGGTGGCGCAATGGTTAAGACTCCGCCTGCCAATGCAGGGGACACAGGTTCGAGCCCTGGTCCGGGAAGATCTCACATGCCGCGGATCAACGAAGCCCGTGCGCCACAACTACTGAGCCTGCACTCTAGAGCCTGTGAGCCACAACTACTGAGCTCACGTGCCACAACTACTGAAGCCCATGCACCTAGAGCCCGTGCTCCACACAAGAGAAGCCACCGCAATGAGAAGCCCGTGCACCGCAATGAACAGTAGCCCCGGCTCGCTGCTAGAGAAAGCCTGCATGCAGCAACGAAGACCCAACACAGCCAAAAATAAATAAATTAAATTAATTAATTAAAAAAAAGATCAATAACAAATGAAACAATTTAGTCTGAATGTGAAGAAACCTTCCTATGATTTAATCTCTTAGAGTCAAAATTTTTTCTACCAAAGGAAGTGGTAGAAAGCTTCTAGTCCTTGAGTCATAGAGAAATCAACTGAATGCAATAATCAGGACTGAAATGGAGCAATTTTCTGTTGTCAAACTTGAACTAAATGACCTCTTTCTCAGGTTTTCAATCTTTATGAAATAAAATCTGTCCAAAGTAATGTAAACTTAGATACCCACACCATTTTCCCAAAAAATGTGCAACAACCACTTGTACATTCCCCAATCAATTGCAAATTGAATTACTGACATCAGCTATGTTTACTTGGACTATCACAGAGAGAGAACGTTGAAACGCTAGAGCCCAGTTATTTGTGAAATTCCTAAAGTGGGGGTAAAAGTATTGATGATCCCTAGCCTCGAGTGAAGGCAGGCAGTATACTGTAATACAGCTTGGCAGATGATAATTCAAATTATGGAAAGGGCAGAAAATATATTCCCTAGGCTCAAAGTCATACCCATTTAGCACCAAGAATAGATTCAGGGGAATTTTTCTGATTTCGTTTACAAGAAATAATTTACTGATGATTTATTTGTAAAAGATACAACTTTACTCATTATGTTTAGCAAACATAACAAAATAATTTTTTTAGTGAATTGCCATCTTGGCAGTGGAACAAATCTGTGAAAGCTCTGTTCCTTACTGAGGCACAGAACAAAGGGAAGGACCCTCAAAATTACCCTCAGCAAAGCACTGACATACTCAGATTGTTAAACTCTTATCTTAGCCACTTTGAAAATTCCCAGTAATGGAGATTCCGCCACCAGTTTTAGTCAAATAAACAAAAATCCTGCAGTATTTTTTACGTCTAATACACCAGGCTCTTCTGAACTCAACATATCCTGCTATTATTAGTCATTCTTAGTCAGAGTAATGTTCTATTCTTCTTCATAATTTAGCCTATCTTTTGCCTTCAATCACTTAAGGGTTCTTGCTTTTCTACAACCAGAAAAACCAGAGGAGAAGTTAAGACTGCCACGTTGAGCATGGCACAATTAAAGTGTTGTCAAGAATCATGCTGTGATGACCAGAAATGATTTAAATGACTCAGAGAATAATTTCCTACTTGGGAAAATTTTCCATAGCACATCTTATGACTTTAGATGTTAGATCTTTATGTCAACCCTAATGGGGGTTGAGAAATTGGAGTGGCCATACTGGGGAATAATAATCTCTATGACAATCTGGCAGTGAACATATTAAAAGGTGTCTTACCTGATCCATAACCAGGGAAATGCAAATTTAGATAGCATTTCTCATCCATGTAACTACTCACAATTTAATTCTGAGAGTACCAAGTATTATAAGGATGGAGAATAACCAGAATCCTTATGGTGGGAGTGCAAATTGGGAAAACCATTTTGAAGAACAATTGGCAACATCTAGTAATTTAAAGATGCATATACTCTTTTATCTAGTGACTTCACTATGAAGTCACATTTACATGAAAGTTAATTTTAACATTCATTGCTTCAGAAAAATGACACAATCTAAATATCTCTTAATAGTTGACTAGATAAATAAATCATGCTATAGTCACACAATGGAATTCTAAGCACACATCAATTTTTCATTCTCACAACAAAACACTAAACAAACAAAAAAGGAAACAAAAAATGCTGTGTATTGACACCATTAAAATAAATTTCAAAAAATGCAAAGATAAATTTTTTTTTTTTTTTTTTTCTTGCGTTATGCGGGCCTCTCACTGTTGCGGCCTCTCCCATTTGCGGAGCACAGGCTCCGGACGCGCAGGCCCAGCGGCCATGGCTCACGGGCCCAGCCGCTCCGCGGCACGTGGGATCCTCCCGAAACGGGGCACGAACCCGCGTCTCCCGCATCGGCAGGCGGACCCTCAAGCACTGCGCCACCAGGGAAGCCCCGCAAAGATAAATTTAAAGATGCATGTATATGAAGTAAAATATGAAGAAACACATGGAATTAATAACAGTAAATTTAGGTACCTCTACAAGGAGGATAAGATTGAGGAAAGGACACAAGGGCCTCAACTATATCAGTACTTTATTTCTTAAGTTGATTATTGGGTATACAGAAGTGCAATCAAATGCTAAAAATCTGTGGAAAAGGGGAAATCTTGAAAGTCAATACAGAAAAAGACATCATGTACAGAAAAGTAAAGATAAATATTACCTCAGACTTCTTGTATAAAACAACACAAGCCAGAAAACAGTATAATGATATCTTTAAAGTGCTTAAGGGGGAAAAACTGTCAAAGGTGAAAGACATTTTCAGACAAACAGAAGCTGAGAGAATTCATTGCCAATAGCCTTTCACTACAAGAATGTAAAAGGAATTGAGAATATGATACCAAATATAACTTCAAATCTACACTAAGCAATGATAGTTGCTAAAATAGTAAATATGTGGCTAACTATAAAAGATTTATCTTCTAATTTGTTTTAATTTTTAAAAGATATTGACTAGGGCTTCCCTGGTGGTGCAGTGGTTGAGAGTCCGCCTGCCAATGCAGGGGACACGGGTTTGTGCCCCGGTCCAGGAAGATCCCACATGCCGCAGAGCGGCTGGGCCCGTGAGCCATGGCTGTTGAGCCTGCGCGTCCGGAGCCTGTGCTCCGCAACGGGAGGGGCCACAACAGTGAGAGGCCCGCGTACCGAAAAAAAAAAAAAAAAAAATAGATATTGACTATTTAAAGCAAAAATATAACAATATATTGTGAGGTCTTAAACATAGAAATAAAATGATGACTATAATAGTACAAAAGACAAAAAGGTAGGAATGGAAGGCATACTGCTGATGAATTCTTAGTTACATATAAGGTGGTATAATATTATTTGGTAGAAGACAGTGATAAGTTAAAGATGCATATAGTAAACCCTAGAGTAACTACTGAAACAATAAAATGGAGATCTTTAGCTAATGTATTGGTTGTCTGTGTGGCAAAACAAATTACCACAGACTTAGCAGCTTAAAACACCAATTTATTAGGTTACAGTTCTTTAGGTCAGAAGTCCAGGTGGATTAGTCTGGCTTCTATGCTCAGGGTTCCACAATACCAAACTCATAGTGTTGGCCAAGCAGGGCTCTTATTTCAAGGTTCAAGAAAAGGATCTACTTCCAAGTTCATTCTGATTGTTGGTAGAATCCAGTTCTTTAGACTATAAAGCTGAGGTTCATGTTCGCTTGATAGTTCTTAGCCAGAGTCACTCTCAGCTCCTTGTATCTGCTCTCCAATCTTTGTATGATGGCCCCCTCCATATTCAAATCCAACAACAGAATATCAAATACTCTTTATGCTTCAGATCTCTCTGACTCTTCCGCTTTCCTCTTCTGGCCTGAAAAAGCTTTCTGATTTTAAGGGTTCATGTGATAAGATCAGGCCCACATGGATAATGTCTCTTTCTTAAGGTCAACTGTGCATATATCATAGTGTAATCAGAGGAGTTATAGCTCTTTCATTGACAGGTTCCCTGAATTATAGTGGGATATCTTTGGGGGTCAATTTAGAAATTCTATCACAGCTAATAAACCAATACTGGAAATAAAATGGAATACTAACAATATCAAAGTAGTCCAAAAGAAGTCACAAACTGGGAAAAAGGTACAAAGAATAGATGACACAGAGAAAAAAATAAGATATCAGACTTTAATCCAACAATTCCTATAATTACATTAAATACAAATGGTTTAAACTCTCCAATTAAAAGGCAGAGATTGACAGATTGCACTTAAAAAGCAAACAGCACTTCAAGTGTTAAAGTACAGATTTGTTAAAAGGTAAATGAACACGAATGCTAATCATAAGAAAGATGGAATAGCTATACTAATATCAAAAAGTAGGTTTCAAGATAAAGAATATTACCAGAAATAAAGAAGAACATTTCATAATGATAAAGGGATCAATTCACTAAGAAGGCATAATGATCTTAAATGTGTAATACCATAGCTGAGCCTCAAAACAGAGGAAGCA